TAAATTTTATAAAATATATAATCCATACATTGCGCTTTATACTAAAAATTTCCAACATATAAATTTAAAGGTATTGATTTTTTTATATAATCAAACATATAATTTTTATTTTATTTTTAACATATATACATATATATACACATAAATATATATATATATATATACACACAAATACATATACACATATATATACATACATACAAACATATACACACTCAAATATATTGTTATATATATATGTATACATACATATGCATATATATATACATATACATATATACATAATATCACATATACATATACACAAATTAAAAATCAAATATAAATATAAAAATACATAGATAAGTACGTACATACGTATATACATACGTATATATATACAAATATAAACACACTCACACACACATATATATATATATATATGTTTACATGTTTTTTATTAAACGTATTACCTATTTTTTTATAACCTATTTTTAATGGGCAAAAATTAGTGATAGTTTAATAATATATATACACACATACATACATAAATAAAAAACCAAATATAAAATATAAATATAATATATATATATGTTTACATATTTTTTATTAAACGTGTCACTTGTTTTTTTAAACCTATTTTTCATGAGCAAAAAATAGTGATAGTTTAATAATATATATATACATATATCCATATATACACATAAATTAAAAATCAAATATAAAATATGAATGATTTAAAAATATATACATACAATCATACACACACAGAGAGACACACACATATATACATATATACATATATCTGTAAAATGCTTGAGTCAACTCTAGAAAAAAGGACAAAACTGTTTTGAGTAAACGTTAAGATTTGCAAACACGGATTAACTGGCTCAATATGTATAGAAAATAAGAGGTAAAGATAATTGATATTTTAAAATAGATCAATGAAGTTCAATCACCCTTTCTCTGAATTGGATGTGAAGACATGCATACCATTTCATTCCTTCTATTGGACCACATAGCATCACCACCTGCAAAAACACAAACGCATTTTAAACCGGAATAAACCCAGAGATTGAAAGGGGGAAAAAATTATATAATGAATGACAATCACAATGAAGTTATGGGTCCATACGTGGAACCTATATAAGCTCGTTTAAGAACCAATAACGCATGATAACATAATAAAACTAATTAGAAAAAATAAATGTGATTATTAGTGACCTATTAAATATTACGTTCTACAGTTTAATATTTAATCTTTTGCTTACTAAATACAATGAAGTTGAGGCGTAACCGTTTTTGTTTTATTGTGATTGTTAGTGGCTAATAAATACCAAGAAACGTTTTTGTTTCAAAGTGTTTTGTTGATAGTTTTATTTTTAATTTTATATCATATAGCAATACGTTGCAAATTAGATGTAGTCCAATCGTTATACATAATATAATAAATTATAAATATGAGATTTGTTTTTTAAATTGTAATTATGTTAAAAGTTTTCATTTAATTCTTATCATATCATTTTTCTTATTTAATATGTAATAATTTTTTAATAACCAATCAAAAAATAGATTTTAAATATAAATATAAAAAATTAAAAAACTAAGATCAAAATAAACTTTTATATAGTAAAAGTTAACTTTTCGTACTTTTATTTATTATATTTAGATGTAAAAATTAGTGTTAATCTAAATGTATATATGTGTGTAAAAATTAATTATAATAATAATTATAATTATGATTGTGAAAGATGATATTAAATTAATAAAAATTAAAACAAAAATGCCACATAGATGATGACATGGAGATGAGGTGGCTTCACCACAATACTTTAAACACAATTATTAATATATATAGATTTTCCATGGTATTAGTCTATTAGAGTCTTTCTAATTTAAAATCATGGTTAATATAACCATGATTAAAGATATGAATTCTTTGGTCTTGTAGTTGGGTTGGATATGGAAATATTGACTCAATTCGATTAATGAAGTTGAAACTTATACGATCTAGTTAGAAGTATAAAGTAATGATTTATGAGTGATTGTTGATCCAATGAGGATGCTGTAACAACAAAGAACGTCCCAGTTTGACAGTACAAATGAAATTTGGACATAGTGAAAAATATAATTATCCCGATGAAATTTGGATGACATTTGAAATATTAATGTGGCTGACTATAGAAATATTATTTTATAAGAGAAATGAGGTTTGTCTATAGAACTAACAAAATATCAAACATTGTGTGAAATTAATTGTTAATTACATTAGGGGAAAAATCAAATTTAAATGCAAATTCAGTAACTAGAAAATGTCAAACCAGCCAACTTGTCTCGAATCGAAACGAGTTAGAAATAACGAATCATATCGTAAATCAAAAACAAATACAATATTTATTAATTTATTCGTATTTTGAAAAAAGTATATGATAAATGATATTTTAATATTGTTAATACGGAAATTTTAAATATTAAAATATCAAACACACTAACTTGTTTGACAAATTCATATACAATAGACAAAAAAAAAAATTTAACCTCTAGGAAAATGGGATAGATAGTAAAGTTGTGTTGTATAACAATAGAAAAATAGGTTTATCTTTAAATTGTGGTTCAATATTTGAGAGGTAACAAAGTTACTTAAAAATCATGGGTTTGATTTTACTAATGGAGAGAAATGAGTATAATCAGTTATGTGATTAAAGATTGATTACGGGTCTTGAGGATTAAGTCAAAAGTATAGTGAATCTTTTGGTTTAAAAAAATAAAAAAATAGTTTAAAAAATAAAAACGCTTGAGGTATACACATAGATGTCACATTTAAAAAACAGATAAAATAGAAATAAAAAATACTAAAAATGATAGTGATAGACCTAAATCCACTGAAGTGATTAGTAATGATTTGAAGTTTTTATAAATATTGGAGTATTTAATTCAAAAACGAAATGAATGAAAAAAAATATACGCTCTATCCAAAATAAATTTGGATTAAGGGGATGTTATTGTTAAAATATCATGACGATTTTTTTCTAATTGTAAAAAAGGAAAAGATACATATACAATCATACTTATTTTGTAAAAAGTTATAGAGGTACTATATATTAGATTTCATCTCCACTGATTATCTTATTGAAATAAATAATTAATTATTCGTGAATATCTCAGCAGTCAAATCTGAATTCATCATCAACTACGACACATATATTCAATTTTTATAAAAAAAATTTACCAAAAGAGTCAGATATTTTTGTTCAATCTTAATATATATATATAGTTTTAAAATATATTGACATTCTGTTCAAAGAAAATTATGTATTTTTTCCTTACCTTTTAAATATAATTTCTTAATCTGCGTTTACTGTTTTGGGCGGTGGTCGCATAAGCAAACAAGTTTGTCTTTTTGTTTTATCGTTCTAATCAAAACTTTAAAGATTTTTGTTCTGTTTGAAATTTTATTTCATACGAATTGGCAGCATTCAAAAGCCTTCACGTGTGCTAAATTCTACATATTAAAAAATTGGTTATTTATGCTATTTTTAGTTATAAATTAGCCACATATTTAGTTTGTACACATAGCAAATAACAATATGAAAACTTTGGAAGAAAATGAGTTGGTTGAATATTGAATTTTTTAACCTTAAGTTTGAAGATTCAAATTTTTTTTAACCTACTCGTCTATATTTCTATCAAATTATAAACAATCTAAATTAATTTACATCTCTTTCGTATGATTTACCGTCTATTACACGAGAGCAGGAGTTTAACTAATACGTTGAGGTTTACCACGTTATAAAAGAAATGTTAAAATTTTGTTATAAAAAAATATTAAAATTTTGTATGTAGGGTTTGGGAATGACCGAAATGCCCTTATAGAGTCGTTTATGAGCTGAAGGCAACACGACATTGTTCGTGGTCCAGCTAATTCATCTGAAGGCTTTCTGTCTTTTTGCTCATTTCCTCATGCACAAGGAAATACAGCCTCAAATTGCTAATGGATTTCTAAAAATTAGAAACTAATTGAATATGATTGGAGCACCTAGAATATATATGCATACATATAATTTTATTAAATGTAGAAATTTATGAAATAATATTTTTTTATTAATAACTAAAATAATATATATAAATAGATAAGAGTTTTACAAGTAAATTAAATATAATAATAAATATTTTAAAATATATATTTTCCGGATTCGATAAAATTTCTATTATACAATATATCTCGTAATATTCTTCAAGATCCGTTATATCTTCGATCAATTATATTCGAAAAATAGAGGAAAAAAACAACAATCAAACTGCATTTCACACATTGCTTTAAAAGTACGTGAAATTTTGCTTATTGGTTTATTGCACTCTAAACAAAATAAAATTTACAAGCATTTCTATTCATGACGGCACATAAACGACATATATATATATATAATATATATATATATATATATGTATATATATATATATATATAGTAAACCGGATCAAGCGTCTATGCCGGTATTTGATTATCCATAAATTAGTATATTTGGGTTAACCTAAATAACTCACGCAAATATAATTTGTTAAAGTTTATTATTTTTGTACATATTTACTGTTAGATATCACAAACTGTAATTTGTTAAATTTTAGATTTTTATATATATATATATATATATATATATATTTCTTTTCAAAATATAGAATTTTCAACTATAAAGTAGGGATTTTATAATATGCATATACGTAACTCCAAATGTCTTTCACGGGACGACAATGCGAGCCACTTGTTGAATACATCTCCTGCATTACTCTTTTTGGTCGAAGATCCTGCATTAATACTTGTAAGCTTTAGCAGGCTTTTCCTACAAATTAAATATATTTGTAACATATATATACACATACATATATACCTATATATGTACATCGCATCTGTATCTATGTGTGTGTGAATATTTATTCTTATATTGTGAAACATTTCATCGTTTCTGTAAATTATTCTGGTAAAATTTATTCTAAAACCAAAAATGGAATCTAAATATAAAACAATGAAAACATTATACTCGTGCTTTGAACATTTATCAGAGCATATACACACACACACACACATATATATATATACACACATAATTGATCATATCAAGTATCAACGGTTGCAGGGGAAGAAGGTAACATGGAGAAGAGCTTCTACAACAATGGCCGCTTCTGCATATTATTAATCTCTCACTGCGTTCTTCTTATGAGTTCAGGGCTTTGCTCGAATCCCTTCTCCTACGATCGTTATTCGGAAAAAGAGGTACAAAAACAAAACGCCCACATTACATATACGCAACATTCAACCGTATAAATACGTACATATACGGTCTCTCATACGCCATTTCACGAGCAGTGTGTAACCGAGCCACCGAAATCTTCAAGCAATATTGGAGGATTAATACTTAACCGCGACGTGGAAGATGACGCAGGAAACCGGAAGCTACATGGCAATGGAGCGATCAGTGAAATTGTACATAGAGTTCATGTTCATCAAGGGCATATATACACCTTCTCTGGTAACCACAACACCTTTCACATACATATACACACACACATATATATACGGTCCGAGATCTTTATCGTGTTGATGCCTTCGAGTGTCAAAATGTTCATGAACTGCATCTACGTACACAGTTTGTTTTACCAAGTCTTTAGATCTATCAAATCTCAAAGACCCTGATCAAGAATCGCTTGAATGATTTTCTTTTCGAGCTTGACGGCAATAATAATCTATTTGGCGTTGCTTCGATGTATGAAACGACGACGTTTTCTTGCGTCGTAAAGCGCCGTTCGATCTTTCATGTTCATTTGGTTCCGAATGAAGCTTGGGTGAGGACGGGGAAAGGGGAGAGTACGAGAGTGGAAGCGTCATTCAGGACGGAGGACGGAGGACTCATTCATGGGGGCGAAGTCGCCGCGGGAAAAGCGTGTTGGTCGTTGCTCAAAGGCGGTATCGTCGCCAATTTCTCAGGCCCCGTCGACCTTCTCTTCAAGGTACTACATATATATATATGTGCCCGTGGATCTATACGTATATTTAGAATGATACGTGAAATCGGACGAATATACCCTTTTTATATACACAAATGGTTTTTTTTTCCGTAGTATCTATACATCGTATACGTTAGTAAACTCGTAACTACAATTACGATAGTACCTTGACATAGTCCATCGAGAAAATTTGAGCAAATCCAACGAGTAAATTCATCATGAGTCGAGTTCGTGGTGAACCAATTCAGCTGAGTTCACGAATTGGCTCGCGAACCAGATTTTTTTTTTTAATTTTGAATATTTTTACTATTTAACTTGTGTTTTTAACATATATTCTGTTTTTTGTTTAACTTTCTATGTTTTTATAATATCTTTAAATATTTTTTAGGATATAAATTGTGTTTTTTGATTAAATATTTGGTTCACAAATCGTGATCTAAAACTAAATTCAGTTGGCCAAATAATTTTGAGTAACCAAAAATGGGTCAGGTCGGATTAGATTTAAAAAAATCTAAGATGGAGACCGGTTGGGTTGGGCCGGTCCGTTCTACACCCGAGTAACACGTAAGAACGAAAACATAATTACAATTACGATAGTACCCCTCATAGTATACTGAGTACTGACGATGGATTTGCTCGGGCCAGAGCCAAAACAGAGGAGCAGAGATCTCTGTAGCCGAAATGTCGCTGCAACGGTTCACTAAAAGGCAATGGAAGCTCGAGCAAGATCAAGTCATCGACAAGGTAACTAATGACTCGTGTGTTATGTCTCGATTTTTCGATAAGCTCTGCCTCTTATATGCTCGAAAACCCGCAGATCCGGAAGAGCAGAGTTAGGTTTCAAGTGACGTATCGGAACAAAACCGCCGTAAAAGGAGCTACGATATCCGTAAACCGGATCAAGCCCTCTTTCCTCCTCGGCTGCGGCATGAACTATCGCATCTTGTCGAGCCAAGGGTACAGAAACTGGTTTGCGTCTCGGTTCAAACTCACTTCCTTCACCAACGAAATGAAATGGTACACGACCGAGAAAGTCCGCGGCCGGGAGAACTACACCCTTGCGGATTCCATGCTGAAATTCGCCGAGGAAAACGGTATTAAGGTAAGGGGGCATACGGTGCTTTGGGATAACCCGAAAATGCAGCCGAGCTGGGTTCAAAACGTAACCGGAGCTGAAGATTTGATGAACGTGACTCTGAACCGGATAAACTCGGTTATGACGAGGTACAAGGGGAAACTTACAGGATGGGATGTGATGAATGAGAATGTGCACTTCAGATTCTTCGAAGACATGCTCGGAGAGAACGCCTCGGCTAGTTTCTACTCGTTGGCTTCCAAGCTTGATCCCGATATAACGTTGTTCGTGAACGAGTACAATACGTTGGAGAATAGCAAAGAAGGAATAGCGAGCCCCGTTAACGTGAAGAAGAAGATGGAAGAAATCGTGGCGTTTCCCGGGAACATGAACATGAGAGGAGGAATTGGAGCTCAAGGTCACTTTGGACCTTATCAACCAAACCTTGCTTACATAAGATCGGCGTTAGATACATTGGGATCCCTCGGGTTTCCTGTCTGGTTAACGGAAGTCGATATCCCCAAATGCCCGGATCAGGTAACGGAAAACGTGTTTTCCGGGTTCGTTACTTCTGTTTCATCGATCAAATGTCTGATAAATCTAGGCAATGACTAGGTTAGAACCCGAGTCCTCGCGTATCTTGATCCAGATTGAGCAGGAGCAAGAAATTCTTCAGCGTTTTACGTTCGAAATAAACGGAATCTAGACTCGAATTGATCGAGACGGATTGGATAACGTGTGCAACGAACAACGTTAAACTGCTCTAACCGATACATTATGGATTTTTCGGAATTCTCAGGTGAAATACTTGGAAGAAATCTTGAGGGAAGCATATTCTCACCCGGCGGTGGAAGGCATAATCATGTTTGCAGGGCCAGAAGTGTCGGGTTTCGACAAACTTACGCTTGCGGACAAAGATTTCAAGAACACGGAGACAGGTGATCTCGTGGACAGGTTGCTGAAAGAGTGGCAGCCATCCGAGACACAGGAGTTTGAGATCACGTCGGATGGTGGATTGGGGTTTTCTCAGGAGGTTTCTCTGTTGCATGGCGATTACAGGGCGACTGTGAATCATCATCATCCGCCATGGATGAAGAGCTTGTCCACAAGCTTGAGCTTTGAGGTGAAGAAGGAGGAGATGGTGCAAGTTGTAATTGATGCCTGAATATTGAAATCGTTTTCTTCTGTAGATGTTAAAACATATATTACAAAACATTCCAACTCATGGGAATTATTAGAGAAAGAGACCTGTTTCAATTATTATTATTATTATTATTATTGTTATTATTATTATTGTATTCAAATCATTATACGCTAAATTTATCTAGATTTCGCAGCTTTTATTTTAAGTTTGGTCGATTTTTATTGATGTTTGGTCGTCGTTTTAAATATAAAAAAAATCCCCAAAATGATAGAACCGATATTTTTAAAATATGATGATAGAGACATCACCTTTCGTAATGAATAAAGAAACGAAAAAATCTCGAAACATTTTATCAAGCTAATGGAAGATTTAAATCTGATCTACATATCGATTAGGACACGGTTTAATTTTAATACTATATAATTTTTATCTTAAATATATAAAAGAAGGCATTTGTCGACTTTTTTTTTTTGGGATGATGTCTTTTTATTTTAAAATCTTTTTTTTTTGGGTTAGGAAATGATTATCGGTTTAATCACCCGCGAAGAAGTTTCCGCTCGTTCATCAAGAAGTTTCTGGCAGATTGTTAATTAGGTTTAAGCAATATCATTAATTGCATCATTAGAATCAAACCTTAATTAGGCTGTTAGGTAATACTGATCAATCACTTCCACTGTAAACAATAATAATGATAATAATAATAACAATAATAGTTAGGTGCAATGTCCCGATTCAATATTTATCCTCCAGTCTCCAGATAAGCGTTTGGCTTTATTAGGACATCAGAGGTTTTACATGGTTTTAAATAAAATAAGAGATTGTCCCATTCAATATTTTCGGGTTCGTATACGTGGGCGAGGTCACGATATAAAAAATATATTTTCTGATTTTTTTAATTCAAATTTGTATAATTCAAAGACGTATATTCTAAATCGCATTATTAACTTTGACTTCGGATTTTGAATCCGAACCAAAAAAGATATTTTCGATTTTTTTTTTAAATCCCAAAACATGAATTTGGGACTAATAATCAGTGAAATTGATGCAAAGAGTCAACAAGTCACATAAGAAGTCCCCCCACAATTTACATTCCCACACTCAAATCCAAACGTCAGCTATATAGAGGTGGACGATCCAGATTATTCATGAATGAACATAACCTAAAACGATAAGAGGAAAAAAAGAACCAAGGTTCACCAGCAATCCTGTCTTAACGCTCCACAAATCAATCGCGGTTTTTTGTTTCTTTTTCCTGCACCGAAACCACCCCCGAGACGAAAATGGCGGCAGCCACGAGCCGTCTCTCTGATCAGAAGCAGGCATCCAAGAGACAGCAACAGCAGAGAGCAGCAAGACTGTAAAAGTCGAACAGTGAATCGATCAATGGCACAAAGAAAGAATGGAACTCTGAATTTGTGATAATGGGCGTTTGATTATAATGGCATCTGAAAGCTATGTCTTAATGAACGTTGTTGATCATTGATGAGACCAAAAGTGAGAAGATAATTAAAGACCAACAACTCAAGTTTCAATACGTTTCTACCATAAGAACACAAACTGGATTAAAGAATGTCTCCTGAAACCAATCAACACATGCCTTTTCTCGAGATCCGCATATCCAAAGGCAGAAACAAGTCCAGAAACCCAATATTCTTTATCCTCAATCAGAAAGATGATAGGTTGTCCAAAACAAATAAACGGATTGCTCAGACAAGTAAAATCTGATCATATATATATATATGTATATATGTATATATGTGTGTGTGTGTGTGTAAGGCTTACCATCCTTCTAGAAACCCAGGACTGCTTTGTTGATGCTGTTGCGGTGGTGGCTGCTGCGGATACTGCGGCGCGTACGGCGGCGGATATCCCTGAGGAGGATAGCCCTGTGCATATCCCTGCGGAGGATATCCCGGCGGCGGATAAGCGTCCTTCGGATATCCCTCCGGCGGATACCCTATTCCAGGTTAAGCGAAAACCACAAAGATTCAGATCTCACCGCAATCAAACAGAATCAGAGTATCACACACAAACAAACAACCCAAGACCAGAAATCGTCGGATCTCGAAATTTTATCGATCCCAACAAACATGCAGTGATTTCAAAAGAGAATCCAGAATCGGAAACAGTTTAAAAAACTGAACATAGTCTTGAAAAAAATGGATCGAGATCTAGATCACGAGTTTTCACAAAGGTAACAGTGATTCCGAAGGAGAATCCAAAAACGGAAACAGTGCAACAACTGAACACAATCGAAAAAAAAAAGCTGGACCCAAACCTAATGCACGAGTTCACGAAGGAGATCGATCGACGAAGAACATGGAAAAAAAATCAAGAAGAAACCCAAATTGAAATCGAAACAAATAAAAAACAATGATCCAACACAGAATCAAACAGAAGAAATCGGCAACAGACCTTGAGGAGGAGGAGCACCAACAGGAGGCGGATACTGACTCATCGAATCGTTCCTTGTTCTACACTTTTCTTCTGCTCCTTCGTCCCTCTCTCTCCCTCACGCAAAGATTATGAAACGGAGAGATCTCAGGGATATCGATTTTATACTGTTTTTGTTTGGTTTCCTTTTTTATAAAAGTTTCTTTTATATAAATTATGAAGAAAAGCAAAGTTGCCGGGGAAGGTTCTGTCTCGGTGGTTCGCATCCAGCGTAAGCCCACAACGACCGCCAACTTCTGGGGGAACAATCAACCATTCACGTTTTGACACGTCATCAGAGGTGGAAAGCAAAATGACGTGGCGATATCCTATAGGTTTTGGTTTATGAAAAGAAACTGATATTAAAAAAAAAAAAGTTAAAACCGCGTCGACTGCGCGTACTGGCCAGTTTTACGATGAAAACCAATATCGAGGTTTTCGGATAAGGTTTTTTTAAAACTTTATTTATTTTGATGTTATAAGTTTTTCAATTAATATATAGATTTTAAAATTTTAAAATTAAAAATAATAAATATATTTCAGTTTCAGTGCCAAAAAATATATATATATATATATTTCAGTTTCTATTTCATTTTTATTAAAAAAAAATTATAGAAAGTTTTTGGATAGGGTTACCTGGAATACAGCTTAATCAGTTTTTATTGTTATTCATAGTTTTGGATAACGAATCATCTTTATACATAGGTTTCAGTTTCTATTTCATTTTTAGAAATTATTTCGACAGTTTCTATTAGTTTTTTGTTATTAATCATATGTTCTATAATTTTTTTAAAAACGAAATATCTTTATAGTAATTGTCTCAAATTATTATTTTTCTAACAACTACATGATGATAAATATTTAATTTATCTAAACGAAATCGGTCGAATAAAACAAGCGAAGGAAAATATTTGTGAAGATTTTTAATGTGAAACGGCTTACTAGCATGAGACGACCAGATAGATGTTCCAAATACCAAATCGCACTGTCTAACTTTTAATTTCTTTTTTTTTATATGCAAAATTCTTATTTTTTTATATCAATTTAAAATAATCGAAAATGAGTGGAAGCTCCATTAAATTTGAACAGAGCAATTACAATTAAATTAGGATCTCTGCTATTGTAATAGTGCCGTCGAATAAATTTAATATATACCTAACAACTCTAATTTAATATATGTTATGGGCTAGCACACAATTTTTCTCCATAATTTCCTATTGATGCTAAGAGTCATAAAAAGAATATCTAAATATTCATTCCTGACTGCCACATAAAAAAACCAAATTTGTTAATGATTAAATATTTTAAATTACCATGAAATATTAAAATATATTCATTCCTATAATGTTTCAAAATTTTAAGATATAATAGCCTAATTAATCTAATTAAAAAAATATAATATATGATAATTTGGATATATTCTGGTACACGTATCGTCATGGAACTAATGAATCAGTTCAAACTGTATTTATTTGAAACTTTCACTATTAAATTATTAAAGTAAGTCCAAAATATTAATATAAAATATGTAATTACGTGGAAATTAAGCCCGAGATGAGGCCCGTGACGCCCATTGACCTGCCTCATCAGAAAGCTGCATCACTGTTGATATCGATGGCGATTCTCACTTCACTTCCCAGTTTTTTTTTTTTAATCAAACAAAGAAAATTTAACAAAAGCCCCATGGAAAATAATTTGGATTGAAAGCTTTTTTTTTTTTTTTGCTTTTGGTTCTGATGCGCGAGGGACGAATACGATGCCATTTTCGTCATCGCTCTCATCTTCATCTCACTCATTTCTATCACTCCAAGCGCGATCTCACATTCCCTGCATCCGCAGTCCCAAAACCCTAAACTTCTCAAGAACCCGTGATTTCGCTTTTCCCCCTTCTCGCTTCGAGAAGATCCCGTGATTTCATCGACGCATGTCTCACCTTTCTACGCGGGATCTATTCTATATGTACGGGTATGTATGTATGTATGTACATGCGTAGAGTTTTGAACTTTTTATTGTGGGTTTGGAACAGGGGAGGGACGATCTTGTGGATGATCCACGGAATCGGAGCCGCAAGATCAGAGCAGAGTATGTGTTCGACGAGGATTACGATGGGGAAGAAGATGATGATCAGGAGGACGAAGACAAGAGTTTGGATCTGTTGGTTAGATTTTCCGAAAATGCATTCAGAAAGATCTCGAAGAGGACGAGGAAGGCAGTGAGATCGATTTTACCTGTTTCCATCTCCACGAAATTGGTGAGTGTTTCGATCCGATCGTATGATCGCGTTGAAGTTTGAAAGATTTTGTTGAGGAACATCATATGGGTTTGGACATGAACACTGTGAATCCGTAAACACATCTTGATCTTAGCATCACATGAGAGAGATTTTCATAAATCCCGTGTCAAATTTACAGCATCTAATAATAGTCTCTGTCTCATTTTCAGGTGGGGTTTTCAGTCAGTGGAGTACTTATTCTGGCATTTTTGTGGATTTTGAAGGGTTTCCTCGAGGTTAGATCTTTCCATTCATGTTCTGCTTTAACTCGTATCAATGGATCAATCAAACTATACGATGAGAATTATATTGTAGGAAGATGCGCTTGGCTATTGAGCATTCTTTAGACGGCATGGTCCTTAGAAAAGCTTAAACTGAGGCAGTTAGCTTTATAACTTTATGCCCTTTTATCAATTTGGTTTCTTAATGGTAGATTGATCCTTCCATGGTCATGTCGGGTTGATCTATTATGTTTGTTTGAGAACCATTTGGGCTCGGAGGCTTTCGTCAAGATCGGAACTTTGTTGCTGATTGAAGCAACTTCTGTTTTCGGTTGAAGGTTGAAACATCGGTTGAAGTTTGTGATAAGAATGTCACAAACTAAGTTTATAACCGTATTGCTGTATCAAAATTTCATTTTTTTTTTGAAGCATACTCCAGTTGCTAGTGTCGTAACGAAAGTTGATTCCGAAATACTTGGTGTTTCAGCATGTGCTTTCATCTATTTAGATCGATGGGTCGGACCAGAAGATGATCTGCCATAAATTGGATTTGAGAGGCTTGGAAAGGTTAGAGCTTTGCTGTTGATTGCATCAAACTCATGTTCTGATCCGCATCAAGAACCTTGCTTGTTTGCCTTGCTTGCTTGAACTCATGTACCTTTGTAGATCTGCATGCATATGCATCCATACTATGAAAATACGACGTGCGTTTGTATATATAAAATCGTGTTTTTACTGACTCGGGTCAGGACTGGTGATTGGAATGCAGGTGGCTTGCACCCTTGGAACTATGGTATTTACGAGCATTTTATTTATATACGTGGACTGTGGGCCGGTTTAACTTACGTACAACAAAGCCGTGGCAGCAAGATGAATGAACTGGCCGACGACCCGCGTGCTGGGAGCGGGGTGCAGCCCGTTTCTTGATTCCGGTTTCTCGATCTAAGCATCGCAAAGAAATACCACAAATGGATACCAATCTAGTACCTATTTAGCATAAATTGATGCGATTACTGATCAACTATATCATCGATTTGATATCTGTTTGGTGTACGAATTGATAAAAATGGAATCCTGATTCAATTAAGCTTTAGAAGTGGAGATTGCTACGTACAAACTTAGTCAACACCTACAAGTCATAAGAGATCTGCAGTCAAACCTAAAGAAGCATCAACACATTGCAGAGTGGTGCAATGGAAAAGCAAATGACTAAAACCATCAAGTCAAGCGTCTCTCTCTCAATGAGCAGAGTGCTGGTTCCGGATTCTGCTTGATCGCCTCACCGGAGTGATCGCCTCTTCTTCCCCGAGACCCTGAAAGCGTAAATTCACGTATATCGAAACAGGTTAACCGGATTTCGCTCGTGATCAAAAGCATAATAATCCGAGAGGAGGAGGGATTAATGATAGACTCACGGTCTTGAAGGGAATTCTCTCGTATGTGGTGAAGCTTCCATATGAAGTGGAGCCTATGGAGTATTCTGATGCAGAGGATGCAAGAGATTCCTCTGTCCTCGAGCTTCTGCTGATGTTTTTCTTGCCACTCCTCTTCCTTGTACCGCCGCTTTGTGCCTCGTCCGGTTCTCTGTTGCTGTAGAACGACGAGCTGTTTCTCTTTTCGAAGCTGCTGCTCATCTCGGTAGGGCACGGTTCCCTCATTCTGTCGTCGGCTTCTGTCTGGAAATTCAGCGTAGAAAACCTTTCTTTGATCATGTTCTGTACTGCCGCTGCATGGTTGAAGTTTGGCTCCTCTGTGACGGGCACTGGTTCAGAAGCAGATGCGTTTGGCATGACGACTGGTTTTGCTTTCTTGGTGAAGAAGAAAGCCGAGGCTGCGAGTACAACCACCACCAGAGTCGAAGACAACGCGAGCACAGTCCCGGAAATTTGTGAAACCTCGGCCGAAATAGCGGGCCGAGTATGAGATTCTTCCAGGTCATTATCGATCTTTGTGGAAGACCCTGATTCAGGAAGCGGGTCAGGTTGAGCCTCGGTAGTTTCAGTTGAACTATCAGCAACTCCGACATCCTCAGCAGTTCGCCTCAGATCTTCATGCCCTGTCTCTGTTTCTTCTTGCCGGTCTTCGTAGTTAGCTTCAGATTCATATCCACCGAGTTTCTCCTCTTCCATTTTATCGGTCTCTGTTTCAACCGCCTCCTGAAGCTCAGTAGCTTCTTCTGCTTCAGCATCTTCTTCACAAAGTATTTCAGATTCTTTCTCTCCTTCACTGTTCCAATCAATATCCCGAGTTTCTTCTTCTCGGCCACTTTCTTCACTATGTGCTTCGGAATTGCTTTCACATCCAACCATCTCAAAAGCAGAATCAGTTGTTTCCAGCTTTTCTTGATCATGTTTCCATGTCTTGTCCTCGGTCTCCTCATGAAACTCAGCAGTAGATGTCTTGTCCACATCACCTGCACTAAACTGTTCCAATGGCTCTTCAGCTTCGCATTCGATTTCATCAGCTCCTTCCATTGCAGCCCTCTTTACATTCATGTCGACTTGGTGATCCAATCCAATTACACTGATCTCAGCTTTATCTTGCTGAAAAACGCTATCAAAAGAACCGTCTTCCAACCAATCTGTCAAGTTATGGAACTGCAGCCAACTCCGTTCCTCTTCTTCTCCTAGACTGGAGATCAGCTCGGATATGTAGGCACCCGATGATTCCGCCCACGTCCTCAACTTTTCACCGACCTGCTCAAAGTTTGCCCTCGCCGAATCTTTGAATTCGGGTGGGATGTAGAAAACATAGAGACCTGAATCTCGAAGAAGGGAAAGTTCGCTTTCGGGAGAAATGGTGACTGAAACTGAGAAATAGGCCACAGCTAGAACCAATAGCCACCCGAGGAGCTTGAATGCCCTGAAACGACGCGGTTTTGAAACTTGGTCAGTCATTTCCTCAGCTCCATGCGCTTTCACATCTTCATCAACATCAACATCATCAATAACATCATCATTAACATCATCATCTTTTACTTCTTCTTCTTCTTCTTCCACTACTGACTCTCTTTCCTGCGAAGCGACGTCCTCTTCTGACTCTTCAGAATTTTCGGATTGCATTTCATCTTTGGATGCTTCTGTGTCGGTAGAGCTTTCAGATGTGAAGATATCTTCGAGCTGCTTGCACTCGTCGAAATAGTGCTCAACTCTTGGGTTTGGCCTGTAATGGAGAAACTGAGGCCGAGGCGAAAGATAATTCTTTTTCGGGTCATATGGAAGAACCAATGGATCAGCATCAAGGGGTGCCACCACGGGAGATGTGTATGGGACAGTGGGCCGAGGACTGATCTTGAAGCTTGGATCAAAATCGGCACTGCCCTCTTTCTCGTCAAACATGACATCACTGGTGTCTGAATCTTTCAAGTCCAAAGCTTCCATCTTGTCCAAATCAGTGAGGGTCATGTCATATGGATCCTCAACTTGCGGCTTTTCATCCAACACCGTCTCAGGCTTCGGCCCTTCCTTATCTTCCCCGATGATGCTTACAACATCGGAAAACGAGACAGTTGGCCGGGCAGGATGGCTTCTGGTCTCCTCCAAGATCAGACCTCTAACGTCGGAGAACGAGACAGAAGATCGAGGCCCTTCGTTTTTCTCAGCCAATACCTTCTTCCTCGGTGATGCGTTGATCTTGGAAGCTGCTGAAATCGTTGGAGACATGAAGTTCTTGGCGCCCTTTTGAGCTGGAAAGGCTCTCCCCATGTTCGAAAACTGATCCTTATCGTTCTCTTTGTCTCTTCCAGTAGAGTTCCTGCGAGAGAAGTCTGAGAAACAGAAACAGCCAACCGAACAAGAGACAACTCAGACATAAATTGTGATAGCAGAATGATAAAAGCTCAAAGCTTTCGGCGAATCTAACGCCAAATTTCACATCTTCGCAACAAAATTCCTGATCAAATCTTTGCAGAGGCTAAGTACCAAAAGCATAAGTTCTGCTTGTACAAGAACAAAAACCATAACATTTCCTCCAAACTAACTTCTGACACACTCTTT